AAAAATTGAGTTGCTCAGAATATAAAACAGTAATTAATTTTTTAAAAATTGAGTTACTCAGAATATAAAGCAGTAATTAATTGTTTAAAAAATTGAGTTGCTCAGAATATAAAACAGTAATTAATTTTTTAAAAATTGAGTTACTCAGAATATAAAGCAGTAATTAATTGTTTAAAAAATTGAGTTGCTCAGAATATAAAACAGTAATTAATTTTTTAAAAATTGAGTTACTCAGAATATAAAGCAGTAATTAATTGTTTAAAAAATTGAGTTGCTCAGAATATAAAACAGTAATTAATTTTTTAAAAATTGAGTTACTCAGAATATAAAGCAGTAATTAATTGTTTAAAAAATTGAGTTGCTCAGAATATAAAACAGTAATTAATTTTTTAAAAATTGAGTTACTCAGAATATAAAGCAGTAATTAATTGTTTAAAAAATTGAGTTGCTCAGAATATAAAACAGTAATTAATTTTTTAAAAATTGAGTTACTCAGAATATAAAGCAGTAATTAATTGTTTAAAAATTGAGTTACTCTCAGAATATAAAGCAGTAATTAATTTTAATAAAATCGAATTTCTTAAGATATAAAACCGCAATTAATTTCGAATAAAATTGATTTATGGAGATTTCACGACAATGGAAGATGTGCATGACCGTTTTGTGGAAGTTCAGTTAATGAATGTAACGATGCATTGGGAGAATGATGCATCAACGTATTCGCTTCTCCGCTGCATTGGTTGAGATATTATCCGAGAAACACGGGGTTCGGTGATTTCTGCAGCTGTCCTAAGAACAGTCGTTACTTCTTCGCTTTTTCTTCGGGAGAAAATGAGAAGGCTTGCTGTCGAGGAAGTGCCCTATAGAGTTCCCAGAATCGTGTGATCCTCGAACGTTATTAAGCCTCTTCCACGGAAATCCTCAAATCTCGAACTTGTTATTTCTCGCCGATTTGCGGCTAAGAGAGAAGATTAGGTGCTGTTGTCTAGTGTATTAGCGTTCGCCACGAACAGCCATAATGTTCTGGAAACTGATACAGACGCGGTGAAGCGGTTTGTTAATTAAGTTCGACAATGTTTGATCGTGAAAATCGAATTGTTGCCGAAATAGGTAAATAAATGATCAGTTACTAAGAGAGAAATGAAGGAGAAGTTTCTTAATTAGATGTTACAATGTTTGACAATGTCGGATAATGTTTAACGGTTTAGACGAGATTGTTAGTTAAATAAATAAGTAAAGGAATTGCTAGTAATCCAGATAAATGAAAGAATTTAATAAATAACGAATCACATAATTGTATCTTAATTAGGTTTGACAGTGTTTGACGTGTTACAATAAAAATTACAAAATATAGAGACAAGAGAACTGCCCTCGAATTGTAAAAAAAATAAAAGAATTACTATTAAATGCAATCGGAGAACAAATAAAAAATACATTGATCTTGTTTGACGATGTTGCAGGTGAAATTGCTACCAAAACAGACGTACTAAAAAATTGCTACGATATCAGACAAATAAAACAATCGCTGCAGAAATAAGCAAATAAAACAACTGCTAACAGACGTTATCAAAAAATAAATTAACAGTATGTTAGTCAGATTTGATAAATTTTGATATTGCAATTGATATCTTAAATCAGACAAATAAAATAATTACAACAGAACCAGATAGATAAAAAAATTGCTGCCAAAAGATAAACAAAAGATTAGAAGGGCGCGGTAAAATCATACAAATTAAATAATTACAAGCAAATGCTATCAGAAGACAAATTGAAAATGGACTATATTAATCACGTTTGATAATGTTTGATGTTGCAGGTGAAATTGCTACCAAAACAGACGTACTAAAAGATTGCTACGATATCAGACAAATAAAACAAACGCTGCAGAAATAAGCAAATAAAACAACTGCCAACAGACGTTATCAAAAAATAAATTAACAGTATGTTAGTCAGATTTGATAAATTTTGATATTGCAATTGATATCTTAAATCAGACAAATAAAATAATTACAACAGAACCAGATAGATAAAAAAATTGCTGCCAAAAGATAAACAAAAGATTAGTATATTGGTCAGATTTGACAATGAACGTTACAATTGAAATTGCATGATAGACAAAGAAAAGAAGGGCGCGCTAAAATCATACAAATTAAATAATTACAAGCAAATGCTATCAGAAGACAAATTGTAAATGGACTATATTAATCACGTTTGATAATGTTTGATGTTGCAGGTGAAATTGCTACCAAAACAGACGTACTAAAAGATTGCTACGATATCAGACAAATAAAACAAACGCTGCAGAAATAAGCAAATAAAACAACTGCCAACAGACGTTATCAAAAAATAAATTAACAGTATGTTAGTCAGATTTGATAAATTTTGATATTGCAATTGATATCTTAAATCAGACAAATAAAATAATTACAACAGAACCAGATAGATAAAAAAATTGCTGCCAAAAGATAAACAAAAGATTAGTATATTGGTCAGATTTGACAATGAACGTTACAATTGAAATTGCATGATAGACAAAGAAAAGAAGGGCGCGCTAAAATCATACAAATTAAATAATTACAAGCAAATGCTATCAGAAGACAAATTGTAAATGGACTATATTAATCACGTTTGATAATGTTTGATGTTGCAGGTGAAATTGCTACCAAAACAGACGTACTAAAAGATTGCTACGATATCAGACAAATAAAACAAACGCTGCAGAAATAAGCAAATAAAACAACTGCCAACAGACGTTATCAAAAAATAAATTAACAGTATGTTAGTCAGATTTGATAAATTTTGATATTGCAATTGATATCTTAAATCAGACAAATAAAATAATTACAACAGAACCAGATAGATAAAAAAATTGCTGCCAAAAGATAAACAAAAGATTAGAAGGGCGCGGTAAAATCATACAAATTAAATAATTACAAGCAAATGCTATCAGAAGACAAATTGTAAATGGACTATATTAATCACGTTTGATAATGTTTGATGTTGCAGGTGAAATTGCTACCAAAACAGGGAACCTTCGTGCCCCGAAAGGCGAAGCAGGCCAATCAACCTTTCGAAACGACATTCAGGTTGCAGGTAATCCAACAATCTCTAATATCTTGCTGCTCGTATCTGCAGCTAGAAGAACGCTCTGAACAAGTAGTTCTTTTCTCCCACGAACGATAAGGCCCGATCACGTCATTCTTTTATTTCCGACACTGTTTCATCGATGACACACAGTTTGTTTCAACAATCGGTTAGCGATTACGACGACTCGTGGAATTGTTGCAGGTGCATCTGCCCAGGAACCAATTGTACGTGTCCAGAGTCAGCCCGAAAATGAACCTCGGCGAAATATTGGACGAGGTCTGTCGCGAGAAGAATCTGGACAGGAGCAAATACGAGTTACGTCATCCAGGTAAAATGCGGAGTTCCATAAATTTGCATTTCTTAAGTTTTAGGTCGCCCATTAAAAGGAGAAAAAAGGTTCATTGATTATTCAAGAGCTAATTTTGATTTCCATGCTGGTTAAGTGTGGAACACAACGAGAGAAATGAAATTGTCAAAGCAGCCAAACGTAGAGGAATAAAATTGTGAGAATAGAATTGTTAGAAATACCTAAATATGAAAGACAAATGATATCGTAAAAGATAGTTAAATGTACAAGTGAAATAAAATTGTCAAAAGCAGCCAAACGTTAAGGAATAAGATTGTTAGAATAGGATTATTAGAAATACCTAAATATGAAAGACAAATGAAATCTTAAAAGATAGTTAAATGTATAAGTGAAATAAAATTGTCAAAAGAACAGCCAAACGTTGAGGAATAAAATTGTTAGAATAGGATTGTTAGAAATACCTAAATATGAAAGACAAATGAAATCTTAAAAGATAGTTAAATGTATAAGTGAAATAAAATTGTCAAAAGAACAGCCAAACGTTGAGGAATAAAATTGTTAGAATAGGATTGTTAGAAATACCTAAATAT